ACATTGAGGGGACTGAGGGGACCGTGAGGGGACTTTGGGGACCCTGAGGGGATTTTGGGGACCGTGAGGGGACTGAGGGGACATTGAGGGGACTTTGGGGACATTGAGGGGACTGAGAGGACATGGAGGGGAATTTGGGGACATTGAGGGGATTTTGGGGACCCTGAGGGGACTTTGGGGACCGTGAGGGATTTTGGGGACCGTGAGGGGACTGAGAGGACATGGAGGGGAATTTGGGGACATTGAGGGGATTTTGGGGACCCTGAGGGGACTTTGGGGACCGTGAGGGGATTTTGGGGACCGTGAGGGGACTGAGGGGACATTGAGGGGACTTTGGGGACTGTGAGGGGAATTTGGGGACATTGGGGGGACTTTGGGGACCCTGAGGGGACTTTGGGGACAAGAGGGTCCCCTCAGGGGGGCCTTGGGGACAAGTTTGGGGTCTTGGGGGGACCTTGGGGACATGGGAGGGGCCTTGGGGACATCGGGGTCCCCTCAGGGGGGGTTTGGGGGCTGTTCTGAGGAATTTTGGGCTGTTTTTTCGGGGGGATTTTGGGGGTTTTTTTTGTGGATTTTGGGGCTGTTTTGGGGATATTTCAGGGAATTTTGGGGTTTTTTGGGGAATTTTGGGGCCATTTTGGGGCTGTTTTGAGGAATTTTGGGGGTGTTTGGGGAATTTTGGGGGATATTTCAGGGAAATTTGGGGCTGTTTTGAGGAATTTTGGGCTGTTTTTCTGGGGGATTTGGGGGATTTTGGGTTTTTTTGTGGGATTTTGGGGGCTGTTTTGGGGATATTTCAGTGAATTTTGGGGATATTTCAGGGAATTTTTGGGGCTGTTTTGGGGATATTTCAGTGAATTTTGGGGATATTTCAGGGAATTTTTGGGGCTGTTTTGGGGATATTTCAGGGAATTTTGGGGCTATTTCAGCGGAATTTTGGGGATATTTCAGGGAATTTTGTGGCTTTTTTGAGGAATTTTGGGGCTTTTTTTGTGGAATTTTGGACTATTTGGGGGTGTTTATGAGGAATTTTGGGGCGTTTGATGAATTTTCTGTCTATTTTAATGATTTTGGTGTTTTTTTTAGGAATTTTGGGTCATTTTGCTGCTGTTTTAGGAATTTTGGGGCTTTTTTTCCTGGAATTTCGTGGCTTTTCCAAAGAATTTCAGAATTTGCAACAAAATGTGGAATTTTTTTGATTTGCTTGGGTTTGGTTTTTCCAAAATTACCACTTTTTTTTTTTTGTTTGTGTTTTTGTAATTCCAGTCAGATTCAAGGTCAACCCCAGCTTAGGAAAACCAACAAGAAAATTTAAAAATTCCAATTTTTTTAAAGAATTCTGGTGGGATTTGAGGTCAATCCCAGTTCAGGAAAACAAAAAAAAATTCCAAAAAATTCCAATTTTTTTTAGGAATTCTGGCTGGATTTGAGGTCAATCCCAGCTTAGGAAAACCAAACCAAAAAACATTTTAAAATTCCATATTTTTTAAGGAATTCTGGTGGGATTTCAGGTCAATCCTGGCTTAGAGAAACCAACCAAAATAAAATTTGAATTCCATATTTTTTTAGGAATTCTGGTCAGATTCAAGGTCAATCCAGACTTTAAAAAATTCCAATTTTTTGGGGGGGAATTCTGGTTGGATTTGAGGTCAATCCTGGCTTTAAAAAATTCCAAATTTTTTTGTAATTCCAGTCAGATTCAAGGTCCACCCCAGCTTAGGAAAAACAAAAAAAAATTTCCAAAAAATTCCAATTTTTTTTAGGAATTCTGGTGGGATTTGAGGTCAATCCTGGCTTTAAAAAATTCCAATTTTTTTTAAATTAAAATCAGATTCGAAGTCAATCCCAGCTTAGAAAAACCAAAAAAATTCCAAAAAATTCCAATTTTTTTTTAGGAATTCTGGTTGGATTCGAGGTCAATCCCAACTTAGGAAAACCAAACCAAAAAAATTCAAAAATTCAGATTTTTTTTTGGAATTCTGGGTGGGATTTGAGGTCAATCCCAGCTTAGGAAAAACCAAAAAATTCCAATTTTTTTTTTGTAATTCCAGTCAGATTCGAGGTCAATCCCAGTTTAGAAAAACCAAACCAAGAAAAGAACAAAAATCCAATTGTTTAAAAAAATTATGATTGGATTTGAGGTCAATCCCAGCTTAGGAAAACCAAACCAAAAAAATTGCAAAAATTCAGATTTTTTTGGGGGGGGAATTCTGCTGGGATTTGAGGTCAATCCCGTCTTTAGAAAATTCCAATTTTTAAGGTCAATCCCAGCTTAGGAAAACAAAAAAAAATTCCAAAAAATTCCAATTTTTTTTTAAATTCCCGTCAGATTCCAGGTCAATCCCGGCTCAGCCGAACCGGCCAAACCGGGCGAGCCGGCTCCGGGCCGGGATTCCCCAACGTGGGTTGGGATTTATTTATTTATTGCCATGGGTTGGGATTGATTTATTTATTGCCATGGGTTGGGATTGATTTATTTATTTATTGTTGCTCCTTTTCGTTTCCCTCTCCTCAGGATTCCTCCCGCGGCCCCTCCCCGACATCTGTGGGAAAAAGCCGCGATAATTCAGCAGAAATTCGGAATTTTTTGGAATTTTTGGCTCCACCTGAGAGCCGAGCCCAGGAGATAAACCCGCGATAATTCAGCAGAAATTCGGAATTTTTTTGGAATTTTTGGCTCCACCTGAGAGCCGAGCCCAGGAGATAAACCCGCGATAATTCAGCAGAAATTTGGAATTTTTTTGGACTTTTTGGATCCACCTGAGACTCAACCTCAGGAGATAAACCCGCGATAATTCAGCAGAAATTTGGAAATTTTCGGTGATTTTTGCTCCACCTGAGAGCCGCCCCCAGGAGACAAAACCGCGATAATTCAGCAGAAATTTGAAATTTTTTTGGAATTTTTGGATCCACCTGAGAGCTGCCCACAGGAGATAAACCCGTGATAATTCCGCAGAAATTTGGAAATTTTTGGCCATTTTTGCTTCACCTGAGAGCCGCCCCCAGGAGATAAAACCGCGATAATTCAGCAGAAATTTGGAATTTTTTGGCCATTTTTGCTCCACCTGAGAGCCGCCCCCAGGAGACAAAACCGCGATAATTCAGCAGAAATTTGGAATTTTTTCGGTGATTTTTCCTCCACCTGAGAGCCAACCCCAGGAGATAAACCCGTGATAATTCCGCAGAAATTTGGAATTTTTTGGCCATTTTTGCTCCACCTGAGAGCCGCCCCCAGGAGACAAAACCGCGATAATTCAGCAGAAATTTGGAATTTTTTTGGACTTTTTGGATCCACCTGAGAGCCGCCCCAAGGAGATAAACCCGCGATAATTCCGCAGAAATTTGGAATTTTTTTGGAATTTTTGGATCCACCTGAGAGCTGCCCCCAGGAGATAAACCCGCAGTAATTCAGCAGAAATTTGGAATTTTTTTGGAATTTTTGGATCCACCTGAGAGCTGCCCCCAGGAGATAAACCCGCGGTAATTCAGCAGAAATTTGGAATTTTTTTGGAATTTTTGGATCCACCTGAGAGCCGCCCCCAGGAGATAAACCCACGATAATTCAGCAGAAATTTGGAATTTTTTTGGAATTTTTGGATTCACCTGAGAGCTGCCCACAGGAGATAAACCCGCGATAATTCCGCAGAAATTTGGAATTTTTTTGGAATTTTTGGATCCACCTGAGAGCCGCCCCCAGGAGATAAACCCGCGGTAATTCAGCAGAAATTTGGAATTTTTTGGCCATTTTGGCTCCACCTGAGAGCCGCCCCCAGGAGATAAACCCGCGATAATTCAGCAGAAATTTGGAATTTTTTCGGTGATTTTTCCTCCACCTGAGAGCCAACCCCAGGAGATAAACCCGTGATAATTCCGCAGAAATTTGGAATTTTTTTGGACTTTTTGGATCCACCTGAGAGCCGCCCCAAGGAGATAAACCCGCGATAATTCAGCAGAAATTTGGAAATTTTTGGCCATTTTGGCTCCACCTGAGATCCAACCCCAGGAGATAAAACTGCGATAATTCAGCAGAAATTTGGAATTTTTTTGGACTTTTTGGATCCACCTGAGAGCCGACCCCAGGAGATAAACCCGCGATAATTCAGCAGAAATTTGGAATTTTTCAGTGATTTTTGCTCCACCTGAGAGCCCACCCCAGGAGACAAAACCGCGATAATTCAGCAGAAATTTGAAATTTTTTTGGAATTTTTGGATCCACCTGAGAGCTGCCCACAGGAGATAAACCCGCGATAATTCCGCAGAAATTTGGAATTTTTTGGCCATTTTTGCTCCACCTGAGAGCCAACCCCAGGAGATAAACCCGCGATAATTCAGCAGAAATTTGGAATTTTTTGGCCATTTTTGCTCCACCTGAGAGCCGCCCCCAGGAGATAAACCCGCGATAATTCAGCAGAAATTTGGAATTTTTTGGCCATTTTGGCTCCACCTGAGAGCCGCCCCCAGGAGATAAACCCGCGATAATTCAGCAGAAATTTGGAATTTTTTGGCCATTTTTGCTCCACCTGAGATCCGACCCCAGGAGATAAACCCGTGATAATTCAGCAGAAATTTGGAAATTTTCGCTGATTTTTGCTCCACCTGAGAGCCGCCCCCAGGAGACAAAACCGCAATAATTCAGCAGAAATTTGGAATTTTTTTGGAATTTTTGGATCCACCTGAGAGCCGAGCCCAGGAGACAAAACTGCGATAATTCTGCAGAAATTTGGAATTTTTTGGCCATTTTTGCTCCACCTGAGAGCCGCCCCCAGGAGATAAACCCGCGGTAATTCCGCAGAAATTTGGAATTTTTTCGGTGATTTTTGCTCCACCTGAGAGCTGCCCACAGGAGATAAACCCGCGATAATTCAGCAGAAATTTGGAATTTTTCGGCCCTTTTTGCTCCACCTGAGAGCCGCCCCCAGGCGATGCTCCCCTCCTCGCCGGCCCCGCGCGACCCCCGGCGGACGGAGGGTTAAACCGACCCCCCCCCCGGCGGTTTTGGGGTGATGCTGCCGCTGCCCCCCGTCCCTGCCGAGCTCCGGGGGCGGCCATGGCCGAGCACCGGGAGCTGCTGGCCGAGATGGCGGCGGTGGCGCGGCTGGGCACGGCCGAGCGGCTGCGGCACGCCCGGCGGCGCCGCGCCCAGCAGCTCAAAGCCTGGGCGCGGGCCCAGAAGGAGAACCCGGGAACCCCCAAAGGAGGAGGAGGAGGAGGAGGAGGAGGAGGAGGAGGGGAGAGGAAGAGCAGCAGCAGGAGGAGGAAGAGGGTGACGTTCCCGGCCAGCGTGCGGCTCCTGGAGGCGGCGGCGCGGCACGACGCCGAGGAAGGTGCGGGGATTGGGGGTTCCTGGGGTTTTTTGGGGTTTTTTTGGGGGGGATTGAGGGGTGGGGATGGAGGTGGGGGGGGTGATGGGGCTCTGGTGGGGTTCTGGGGAGAGTTGGTGGGGTGGTCGTGGTGCCATTGGGATCCTTGGAAGCACCACTGGGATCCTTGGAATGGCCTTTGGGATTCTTGGAATGGCCTTTGGGATTCTTGGAATGGCCTTTGGGGTCCTTGGAATTGCCACTGGGATCCTTGGAATTGCCATTGGGATTCTTGGAATTGCCACTGGGATCCTTGGAATTGCCATTGGGATTCTTGGAATTGCCACTGGGATCCTTGGAATTGCCATTGGGATTCTTGGAGGGTTGTTAGGATTGTCATGGTTCCATTGGGATCCTTAAAATTGCCATTGGGATCTTTGGAACGGCCTTTGGGACTCTTGGTGGTTCCACTCAAATCCTTGGAATTGCCATTGGGATCCTTGGAATGGCCTTTGAGATTCTTGATGATTCCACTCAAATCCTTGGAATTGCCATTGGGATCCTTGGAAGGGCTGTAGGGATGGTCGTGGTGTCATTGGGATCCTCCTTGGAATTGCCATGGGGATCCTTGGTAGGGCTGTAGGGATGGTCGTGGTGTCATTGGGATCCTTGGAGTTGCCATTGGGATCCTTGGAAAAGCTGTAGGGATGGTCATGGTGTCATTGGGATCCTTGGAATTGCCACTGGGATCCTTGGAAGGGCTGTAGGGATGGTCATGGTGTCATTGGGATCCTTGGAATTGCCACTGGGATCCTTGGAAGGGCTGTAGGGATGGTCGTGGTGTCATTGGGATCCTTGGAATTGCCATTGGTTTCCTTGGAAGGGCTGTAGGGATGGTCATGGTGTCATTGGGATCCTTGGAAGGGCTGTAGGGATGGTCATGGTGTCATTGGGATCCTTGGAATTGCCACTGGGATCCTTGGAAGGGCTGTAGGGATGGTCGTGGTGTCATTGGGATCCTCCTTGGAATTGCCATGGGGATCCTTGGAAGGGCTGTAGGGATGGTCGTGGTGTCATTGGGATCCTTGGAATTGCCATTGGAATCCTTGGAAGGGCTGTAGGGATGGTCGTGGTGTCATTGGGATCCTTGGAATTGCCATGGGGATCCTTGGAAGGGCTGTAGGGATGGTCATGGTGTCATTGGGATCCTTGGAGTTGCCATTGGGATCCTTGGAAAAGCTGTAGGGATGGTCATGGTGTCATTGGGATCCTTGGAAGGGCTGTAGGGATGGTCATGGTGTCATTGGGATCCTCCTTGGAATTGCCATGGGGATCCTTGGAAGGGCTGTAGGGATGGTCGTGGTGTCATTGGGATCCTTGGAATTGCCATTGGAATCCTTGGAAGGGCTGTAGGGATGGTCGTGGTGTCATTGGGATCCTTGGAATTGCCATGGGGATCCTTGGAAGGGCTGTAGGGATGGTCGTGGTGTCATTGGGATCCTTGGAATTGCCATGGGGATCCTTGGAAGGGCTGTAGGGATGGTCATGGTGTCATTGGGATCCTTGGAGTTGCCATTGGGATCCTTGGAAAAGCTGTAGGGATGGTCATGGTGTCATTGGGATCCTTGGAAGGGCTGTAGGGATGGTCATGGTGTCATTGGGATCCTCCTTGGAATTGCCATGGGGATCCTTGGAAGGGCTGTAGGGATGGTCGTGGTGTCATTGGGATCCTTGGAATTGCCATGGGGATCCTTGGAAGGGCTGTAGGGATGGTCGTGGTGTCATTGGGATCCTCCTTGGAACTGCCATTGGTTTCCTTGGAAGGGCTGTAGGGATGGTCATGGTGTCATTGGGATCCTTGGAATTGCCACTGGGATCCTTGGAAGGGCTGTAGGGATGGTCATGGTGTCATTGGGATCCTTGGAAGGGCCATTGGAATCCTTGGAAGGGCTGTAGGGATGGTTGTGGTGTCATTGGGATCCTCCTTGGAATTGCCATTGGTTTCCTTGGAAGGGCTGTAGGGATGGTCGTGGTGTCATTGGGATCCTTGGAAGGGCTGTAGGGATGGTCGTGGTGTCATTGGGATCCTTGGAATTGCCACGGGGATCCTTGGAAGGGCTGTAGGGATGGTCATGGTGTCATTGGGATCCTTGGAAGGGCTGTAGGGATGGTCATGGTGTCATTGGGATCCTTGGAATTGCCATGGGGATCCTTGGAAGGGCTGTAGGGATGGTCGTGGTGTCATTGGGATCCTTGGAAGGGCTGTAGGGATGGTCGTGGTGTCATTGTGCCGAGGAAGGTGCGGGGATTGGGGGTTCCTGGGGTTTTTTGGGGTTTTTTTGGGGGGGATTGAGGGGTGGGGATGGAGGTGGGGGGGGTGATGGGGCTCTGGTGGGGTTCTGGGGAGAGTTGGTGGGGTGGTCGTGGTGCCATTGGGATCCTTGGAAGCACCACTGGGATCCTTGGAATGGCCTTTGGGATTCTTGGAGGGTTGTCGGGATTGTCGTGGTTCCTTTGGGATCCTTGGAAGTGCCATTGAAATCTTTGGAATTGCCATTGGGAACCTTGGAAGAGCCCTTGGGATCCTTGGAATTGCCATTGGGATCCTCCATGGTTCCGTTGGGATTCCCGGCGGTGCCGGCATTCCCGGCATTCCCGGCATTCCCGTTGCCATTCCCGTTGCTCCGCAGTCCGGCAGTTCCTGGAGAGCGGGATCAGCCCCGACCTGTGCAACGAGGACGGGCTGACGGCGCTGCACCAGGTACTCCCACAATTCCCACAATTCCCAAATTTCCACGTCCCGGAGCTCCGGAGCCGGGTCCTTCCCGGGATTCCGGAGGATCCGGGTCCTGTTTGTCCCGTGAGCTGACTCTGATATCCCAAATTTGGGGCTTTTCCATCCCAGATCCATCCATTGATCCCAAATCCCGGTGATCCCAAATCCCAGTGATCCCAAATCCCAGTGATCCCAAATCCAGGTCACTCCCATCCCAGATCCATCCATTGATCCCAAATCCCAGTGATCCCAAATCCCAGATCCCAGTGATCCCAAATCCAGGTCATTCCCATCCCAGCTCCATCCATTGATCCCAAATCCCACTGATCCCAAATCCAGGTCATTCCCGTCCCAGCTCCATCCATTGATCCCAAATCCCAGTGATCCCAAATCCCAGTGATCCCAAATCCAGGTCATTCCCACCCCATTAACTCCTGATCCCAAATCCCAGTGATCCCAAATCCAGGTGTTTCCCATCCTGTTAATTGGTGATCCCAAATCCCAGTGATCCCAAATCCAGGTGTTTCCCATCCTGTTAATTGGTGATCCCAAATCCCAGTGATCCCAAATCCAGGTGTTTCCCATCCCAGCTCCATCCATTGATCCCAAATCCCGGTGATCCCAAATCCCACTGATCCCAAATCCCACTGATCCCAAATCCAGGTCATTCCCATCCCAGCTCCATCCATTGATCCCAAATCCCAGTCATCCCAAATCCCAGTGATCCCAAATCCAGGTCATTCCCACCCCATTAACTCCTGATCCCAAATCCCAGTGATCCCAAATCCAGGTCATTCCCACCCCATTAACTCCTGATCCCAAATCCCAGTCATCCCAAATCCAGGTGTTTCCCATCCTGTTAATTGGTGATCCCAGATCCCAGTGATCCCAAATCCCGGTGATCCCAAGTCCAGGTCATTCCCATCCCAGATCCATCCACTGATCCCAAATCCCAGTGATCCCAAATCCAGGTGTTTCCCATCCCGTTAATTGGTGATCCCAAATCCCAGTGATCCCAAATCCAGGTCATTCCCATCCCAGCTCCATCCATTCATTCCAGATCCCAGTGATCCCAAATCCAGGTCATTCCCATGCCTGCTCCATCCATTGATCCCAAATCCCGGTGATCCCAAATCCAGGTGTTTCCCATCCCGTTAGTTGGTGATCCCAGATCCCAGTGATCCCAAATCCAGGCCCTTCCCATCCCAGATCCATCCATTCATCCCAAATCCCAGTGATCCCAAATCCAGGTCATTCCCACCCCATTAACTCCTGATCCCAAATCCCAGTCATCCCAAATCCAGGTGTTTCCCATCCTGTTAATTGGTGATCCCAAATCCCAGTGATCCCAAATCCAGGTGTTTCCCATCCCAGCTCCATCCATTCATCCCAGATCCTGCTGATCCCAAATCCCGGTGATCCCAAGTCCAGGTCATTCCCATCCCAGATCCCAGTGATCCCAAATCCAGGTGTTTTCCATCCCAGATCCATCCATTGATCCCAAACCCCAGATCCCAGTGATCCCAAATATTGGCCCTTCCCATCCCAGATCCATCCATTCATCCCAGATCCTGCTGATCCCAAATCCAGGTCCTTCCCATCCCAAATCCCAGTGATCCCAAATCCAGGTCATTCCCATCCCAGCTCCATCCATTCATTCCAGATCCCAGTGATCCCAAATCCAGGTCATTCCCATGCCTGCTCCATCCATTGATTCCAAATCCCGGTGATCCCAAATCCAGGTGTTTCCCATCCCGTTAGTTGGTGATCCCAGATCCCAGTGATCCCAAATCCAGGCCCTTCCCATCCCAGATCCATCCATTCATCCCAAATCCCAGTGATCCCAAATCCAGGTCACTCCCATCCCAGATCCATCCACTGATCCCAAATCCCAGATCCCCGTGATCCCAAATCCAGGTCATTCCCATCCCAAATCCCAGTGATCCCAAATCCCAGTGAGTGTTTTCCATCCCAGCTCCATCCATTGATCCCAAATCCCGGTGATCCCAGATCCAGGCCCTTCCCATCCCAGATCCATCCATTGGTCCCAAATCCCAGTGATCCCAAATCCCAGATCCCGGTGATCCCAAACCCAGGTCCTTCCCATCCCAAATCCAGGTGTTTTCCATCCCAGCTCCATCCACTGATCCCAGATCCCGGTGATCCCAAATCCAGGCCCTTCCCATCCCAGATCCCAGTGATCCCAAATCCCAGTGATCCCAAATCTAGGTCATTCCTAAATACAGATCCTTCCCATCCTGTTAATTGGCGATCCCAAATCCCGGTGTTTTCCTTCCCAGCTCCATCCCCTGATCCCAAATCCTGCTGATCCCAGCGATCCCAAATCCTGGTCCTTCCCATCCCGTTAAACAGTGATCCCAAATTCCATCATTCCCAAGTCCAGGTCATTCCCATCCCAGATCCCAGTGATCCCAAATCCAGGTGTTTTCCATCCCAGATCCATCCATTGATCCCAAACCCCAGATCCCAGTGATCCCAAATATTGGTCCTTCCCATCCCAGATCCATCCATTCATCCCAGATCCTGCTGATCCCAAATCCAGGTCCTTCCCATCCCAGATCCCGGTGATCCCAAATCCCAGTGGGTGTTTTCCATCCCAGCTCCATCCATTGATCCTAGATCCCAGTGATCCTAAATTCAGTCCCTTCCCAAATCCCAGATCCCGGTGACCCCAGATCCCGGCATCCCGTTTTCCAAATTCTTCCCATCCCGTTAACCTCCAACATCCCAATAACCCTGAATCGCACCCCAATCCCAATCCCAATCCCATTATTCCCAATCCCATTCTCAATCCTGTTAATCCCAGACCTGTATCAACAACTCCATCCCGCTGGTCCCGCTGGTCCTGCTGCTCCTGGACCGTGAAATCCCATTACTCCCATTCCCATTATTCCCATTCCCATAATTCTCATTCTCAATCCCATTCCCAATTCCATTATTCCCATCATTCCCATTCCCAATCCCTTTATTCCCAATCCCAATCCCATTATTCCCATCATTCCCATAATTCCCATTCGCTTCCCTATCCCATTTCCATTCCTGATCCCATTCACACCATTCCCATCATTCCCATTATTCCCAATCCCACCATTCCCAGTCCCATTCCCACCATTCCCAGTCCCATTCCCATCATTCCCATCATTCCCACTCCCATTCCCAGAGCTGCATCGACGACTCCCTGCCCCTGGTCTGGCTCCTCCTGGACCATGAAATCCCATTATTCCCAATCCCATTATTCCCAATCCCATTATTCCCAATCCTGTTATCCCCAATCCCACCATTCCCATTATTCCCAATCCCATTCCCACCATTCCCATTCCCACTCCCATTCCCAGAGCTGCATTGACGACTCCCCGCCCCTGGTCCGGCTCCTCCTGAACCATGAAATCCCATTGTTCCCAATCCCATTCCCATTCCCGCCATTCCCATTCCCACCATTCCCAATCCCAATCCCACCATTCCCATTCCCATTCCCATTCCCAATCTCACCAATCCCATTCCCATTCCCATTCCCAATCCCACCAATCCCAATCCCATTCCCATTCCCATTCCCCATTCCCAGAGCTGCATCGACGTCTCCCTGCCCCTGGTCCGTCTGCTCCTGGACCATGAAATCCCAATCCCATTATCCCCCATCCCAATCCCACCATTCCCATTCCCATTCCCACCATTCCCAATCCCATTCCCGCCATTCCCAATCCCATTCCCGCCATTCCCAATCCCACCATTCCCATTCCCACATTCCCCCATTCCCAGAGCTGCATTGATGACTCCCTGCCCCTGGTGCGGCTGCTCCTGGACCATGAAATCCCATTGTTCCCAATCCCATTATTCCCAATCCCATTATTCCCAATCCCAATCTCATTCCCAATCCCATTCCCATTCCCACCATTCCCACCAATCCCAATCCCATTCCCATTCCCACATTCCCCCATTCCCAGAGCTGCATCGACGACTCCCTGCCCCTGGTGCGGCTGCTCCTGGACCATGAAATCCCATTGTTCCCAATCCCATTGTTCCCAATCCCATTATTCCCAATCCCAATCTCATTCCCAATCCCATTCCCATTCCCACCATTCCCACCAATCCCAATCCCATTCCCATTCCCACATTCCCCCATTCCCAGAGCTGCATCGACGACTCCCTGCCCCTGGTGCGGCTGCTCCTGGACCATGAAATCCCATTGTTCCCAATCCCATTATTCCCAATCCCATTATTCCCAATCCCATTGTTCCCAATCCCATTATTCCCAATCCCAATCTTATTCCCAATCCCATTCCCATTCCCACCATTCCCACCAATCCCAATCCCAATCCCATTCCCATTCCCATTCCCATTCCCCCATTCCCAGAGCTGCATCGACGACTCCCTGCCCCTGGTGCGGCTGCTCCTGGACCATGAAATCCCAATCCCATTATCCCCCATCCCAATCCCACCTTTCCCATTCCCATTCCCACCATTCCCAATCCCATTCCCGCCATTCCCAATCCCACCATTCCCATTCCCACATTCCCCCATTCCCAGAGCTGCATTGATGACTCCCTGCCCCTGGTGCGGCTGCTCCTGGACCATGAAATCCCATTGTTCCCAATCCCATTATTCCCAATCCCATTATTCCCAATCCCAATCTCATTCCCAATCCTATTCCCATTCCCACCATTCCCACCAATCCCAATCCCAATCCCATTCCCATTCCCATTCCCATTCCCCCATTCCCAGAGCTGCATCGACGACTCCCTGCCCCTGGTGCGGCTGCTCCTGGACCATGAAATCCCATTGTTCCCAATCCCATTGTTCCCAATCCCATTGTTCCCAATCCCAATCTCATTCCCAATCCCATTCCCATTCCCACCATTCCCACCAATCCCATTCCCATTCCCATTCCCACATTCCCCCATTCCCAGAGCTGCATCGACGACTCCCTGCCCCTGGTGCGGCTGCTCCTGGACTCGGGCGCCGACGCCAACGCTCGGGACGCGGAGCTCTGGACGCCGCTGCACGCCGCCGCCACCTGCGGCCACCTGCGCCTGGTGCAGCTGCTCATCCAGCGGTACCTGGGGACACCCCGGGGACGCCCTGGGGACAACAGCAGGGACACCCAGGGGACACCCTGGGGACACCCCGGGGACACCGCCGGGGACACCCTGGGGACACCCTGGGGACACCACGGTGACACTGGGGACACCCCGGGGACACCGCCGGGGACACCCTGGGGACACCCTGGGGACACTGGGGACACTGGGGACACCCTGGGGACACCGCCGGGGACACTGGGGACACACTGGGGACACACTGGGGACACCGCCGGGGACACTGGGGACACCCCGGGGACACCGCCGGGGACACCCTGGGGACACCCTGGGGACACTGGGGACACTGGGGACACCCTGGGGACACCGCCGGGGACACTGGGGACACCCCGGGGACACTGGGGACACTGGGGACACCCTGGGGACACCGCCGGGGACACTGGGGACACACTGGGGACACACTGGGGACACCGCCGGGGACACTGGGGACACCCCGGGGACACCGCCGGGGACACCCTGGGGACACCCTGGGGACACCACGGTGACACTGGGGACACCCTGGGGACACCGCCGGGGACACTGGGGACACCCTGGGGACACCGCGGTGACCCCGGCGCTGTCCCCGCAGCGGCGCCGACCTGCTGGCGGTGAACTCGGACGGGAACATGCCCTACGACCTGTGCGAGGACGAGGCCACGCTGGACTGCCTGGAGAGCGCCATGGCGCAGCAGGGTCCGTCGGGGGGACACGCCGGGGCACGGCGGCGCGGCCCCGGTGGCGTCACCGGCGTCACCGGCGTCGCCGATGTCGCTCGTGGCAGGGATCACGCAGGAGCGCATCGAGGAGGCGCGGGCGGCCACGGAGCGCGCCATGGTCGCCGAGATCCGCGAGCTCATCCGCGACGGGAAGGAGCTGGACGCGCCCCGGGGACACCACGGGGGCACCCTGGTACGTGGGGACAGCGAGGGGACAGACAGGGGACACCCTGGTACGTGGGGACAGCGAGGGGACAGCCAGGGGACACCACGGGGACACCCTGGTACGTGGGGACAGCGAGGGGACAGCCAGGGGACACCCTGGTACGTGGGGACAGTGAGGGGACACCATGGGGACACCCTGGTACGTGGGGACAGTGAGGGGACAGCCAGGGGACACCCTGGTACGTGGGGACAGCCAGGGGACACCATGGGGACACCACGGGGACACCCTGGTACGTGGGGACAGACAGGGGGCAGCCAGGGGACACCCTGGTACGTGGGGACAGTGAGGGGACAGACAGGGGACACCCTGGTACGTGGGGACAGTGAGGGGACACCATGGGGACACCCTGGTACGTGGGGACAGCCAGGGGACAGCCAGGGGACACCCTGGTACGTGGGGACAGTAAAGGGGACACCATGGGGACACCCTGGTATGTGGGGACAGTGAGGGGACACCACGGGGGCACCCTGGTACGTGGGGACAGCCAGGGGACAGCCAGGGGACACCCTGGTATGTGGGGACAGTGAGGGGACAGCCAGGGGACACCCTGGTACGTGGGGACAGCCAGGGGACACCATGGGGACACCACGGGGACACCCTGGTACATGGGGACAGCGAGGGGACAGCCAGGGGACACCCTGGTACGTGGGGACAGCCAGGGGACACCCTGGTATGTGGGGACAGCCAGGGGACACCATGGGGACACCCTGGTACATGGGGACAGTGAGGGGACGCCATGGGGACACCGTGGGGACACCCTGGTACGTGGGGACAGTGAGGGGACAGCCAGGGGACACCCTGGTACGTGGGGACAGTGAGGGGACAGACAGGGGACACCCTGGTACATGGGGGTGACATTAAGGGGACAGCCAGGGGACACCACGGGGGCACCTTGGTGTGTGGGGACAGCCAGAGGACAGTGGGGCAGGGTGGCACTGGGGTCACTCCTGGGGACAGCACAGGGGCACCCTGGTACGTGGGGACAGTGAGGGGACACCATGGGGGCACCTTGGGGGTGCCACTGGGGTCACTGGGTGACACTGGGGGTCACTGGGCGGGTCAGGGTGACACTGGGTGACACTGGAGGGGATGAAGGTGACACTGGGGGGGTCAGGGTGACACTGAGTGACACTGGATGAGGATCAGGGTGACACTGGGGTCACTGTGAGCGGATGAGGGTGACACTGGGAGGGTCCCCATGGCCCTGGTGACACTGGGGGAGGATCAGGGTGGCACTGGGGTCAGTGTGAGTGGATGAGGGTGGCACTGGGGTCACTGGGTGGCACTGGGGTCACTGGGTGACACTGGGAGTCACTGGGTGAGGGTCCCCATGGCCCTGGTGACACTGGGAGAGGATCAGGGTGACACGGGGGGCCACTGGGTGGCAGTAGGGTCACTGGAGGTGAGGATCAGGGTGACTCTGGGTGATGATCAGGGTGGCACTGGGAGGGTCAGGGTGCCACCCAGGTGCCACTGTCCCCACCCTGTCCCCTGCCGGCTGCACGTGGCAGCCGCCCACGGGTACCTGGAGGCGGCCGAGCTGCTGCTGGGGACACTGGGGGACACTGGGTCAGGATCAGGGTGGCACTGGGAGGGTCAGGGTGCCACCCAGGTGCCACCCAGGTGCCACTGTCCCCCGCCAGCTGCACGTGGCAGCCGCCCACGGGTTCCTGGAGGCGGCCGAGCTGCTGCTGGAGCACCGCGCCCGCCCCGACGCGTGCGACGCCGACGGGTGGCAGCCCCTGCACGCCGCCGCCTGCTGGGGACAGGTGTGTCACCCGCACCCTTGGGGACATCCCCCGTCGTCCCCGTCGTCCCCGTCGTCCCCTTTTCCCACCCGTTTTTGCGTCCCCCTTGCAGGCGCCGCTGGCGGAGCTGCTGGTGGCTCACGGTGCCGAGCTCGGCGCCAAATCGCTGCTGGACGAGACCCCCCTGGGTGCGTGCGGGGACACCGCGGGGACATCGCGGGGACACCGCGGGGACGCGTGTGGGGACGCCGCGGGGGCACTCGGTGACGGACGGGGGTGTTGTCCCAGATGTGTGCGGGGACGAGGAGGTGCGGGCCAAGCTGCTGGAGCTGAAGCACAAGCGGGCGGCCGTGCTGAAGGGCCACGAGAGGCACAAGGGGCTGCTGCAGAGGAGGGCGTCCAGCGCCGGCAGCCGCGGGTGAGCGGGACACAGTGTCACCTCCCTGCCTTGGGGACACTGATGGGGTGGCACTGGGGTGGCACTGGGGTGACACTGGGGGTCACAGATCCCTGCTGCAGAGGAGGGCGTCCAGCGCCGGCAGCCGCGGGTGAGCGGGACACAGTGTCACCTCCAGGGTTGGGGACATTAATGGGGTGGCACTGGGTGACACTGGGGTGACACTGGGGGTCACTGGGGTGGCACTGGGGTCACTGGGTGGCACTGGGGTGACACTGGGGGTCACAGATCCCTGCTGCAGAGGAGGGCGTCCAGCGCCGGCAGCCGCGGGTGAGCGGGACACAGTGTCACCTCCCTGCCTTGGGGACACTGATGGGGTGGCACTGGGGTGGCACTGGGTGACACTGGGGTGACACTGGGGTCACAGATCCCTGCTGCAGAGGAGGGCGTCCAGCGCCTGCAGCCGCGGGTGAGCGGGGCACAGTGTCACCTCCCTGCCTTGGGGACACTGATGGGGTGGCACTGGGGTGGCACTGGGGTGACACTGGGGGTCACTGGGGTGGCACTGGGGTCACTGGGTGGCACTGGGGTGACACTGGGGTCACAGGCCCCTGCTGTAGAGGAGGGCGTCCAGCGCCGGCAGCCGCAGGTGAGCGGGACACAGTGTCACTTCCAGGGTTGGGGACATTGATGGGGTGGCACTGGGGTGACACTGGGGTCACAGGTCCCTGCTGTAGAGGAGGGCGTCCAGCGCCGGCAGCCGCAGGTGAGCGGGACACAGTGTCACCTCCCTGCCTTGGGGACACTGATGGGGTGGCACTGGGGTGGCACTGGGTGACACTGGGGTGACACCGAGGGTCACAGATCCCTGCTGCAGAGGAGGGCGTCCAGCGCCGGCAGCCGCGGGTGAGCGGGGCACAGTGTCACCTCCCTGCCTTGGGGACACTGATGGGGTGGCACTGGGGTGGCACTGGGTGGCACTAGGGTGACACCGAGGGTCACAAGTCCCTGCTGCAGAGAACGTCCAGCGCCAGCAGCCGCGGGTGAGCGGGGCACAGTGTCACCTCCCTGCCTTGGGGACACTGATGGGGTGGCACTGGGGTGACACTGGGTGACACTGGGGTGACACTGGGGTCACAGATCCCTGCTGCAGAGGAGGGCGTCCAGCGCCGGCAGCCGCGGGTGAGCGGGACACAGTGTCACCTCCCTGCCTTGGGGACATTAATGGGGTGGCACTGGGTGACACTGGGGTGACACTGGGGTCACAGATCCCTGCTGCAGAGGAGGGCGTCCAGCGCCGGCAGCCGCGGGTGAGCGGGGCACAGTGTCACCTCCCTGCCTTGGGGACACTGATGGGGTGGCACTGGGGTGGCACTGGGTGGCACTGGGGTGACACTGAGGGTCACAAGTCCCTGCTGCAGAGAACGTCCAGCGCCAGCAGCCGCGGGTGAGCAGGCTTGGGGACATTGATGGGGACACTGGGTGGCATTGGGGACACCACTGGGGTCACTGGGAGGGTCAGGGTGACACTGGGGGTCACTGGGTGAGGGTCCTCATGGTGGGGGTGACACTTGGCCCTGGTGGCCCTGGGAGTCACTGGGTGAGGGTCCCCATGGCCCTGGTGACACTGGGGGGATTAGGGTGACACTGGGAGGGTCAGGGTGACACTGGGGGTCACTGGGTGGCATTGGGGTGACACATAATCCCCAGAACCCCCAAATCCCCGTAATTCCAAATCCCCAAAACCCCATAAACGCTGAACCCTCATAATCCCCAAAACCCCATAAATCCCCAAAAACCCACAAACCCCAAAATCCCACAAACCCCACTAAAACCCCCATAATCTCTAAACCCCATAAAACCCCAAAACCTCATAAACTCCCAAAACCTCATAAATCCCCAAAACTCCATAAATCCCCAAACCCCCATAAATCCCAAATACCCCATAACCCCATAAACCTCAAACCCCCATAACTCCCAAACTCCCACCCCCTGTAATCGTGAATCCCCATAAACCCCAAAACCCCACAAATCTCCTCAACCTCATAAACCCCACAAAACCCCCCATAAAAACCCCATAAAACCCCCAAATCTCCATAACCCCATAAATCCCCCAAATCCCCAAATCCCCATAACCCCAAAACCCCATAATCCCCGAAACCCCATTTACCCCAAACCCTCTGTAATTCCCATAAACCTCGTAACCCCAAAACCATAAATCCCCTAAATCCCCCAAACCTCATAACCCCATAATCCCCTGAACCCCATTTTCCCCAAATCCTCCGTAATTCCCATAAACCCCTAAACCCCATAAATTCTCTAAATCCCGAAATCCCCATAACCCCAAAACCCCATAATCCCCGAAACCCCATTTACCCCAAACCCTGCATAATTCCCATTAACCCCCTAAACCCCATAAACCCCCTAAACCCCATAAATCCCAAATCCCCTAAACGCCATAAATCCCAAAACCCCATAAACCCCAAACCCCCGTAAACCCCCAAAACCCCACAAATCCCCAAAACCCCCACCCCCTGTAATCGTGGATCCCCTAAACCCCATACCCCAAAACCCCACAAATCCCCACAAATCCCCTAAATCCCCAAATTCCCTAAATCCTCTAAACCCCATAAAAACCCTAAAAAAACCCCATAATTCCCATAAACCCTAAAACCCCCCAAATCCCCATAAACCCCAAATCCCCTAAACCCCATAAACCCCCAAAACCCCCCAAAACCCCATAAACCCCAAATCCCCATAATCCCTAAACTCCATAAAACCCCAAAACGCCATAAATCCCCAAATCCCCATAAACCCCAAATCCCCATAAACCCCAAATCCCATAAACCCCATAACCCCCCAAATCCCCAAAAACCCATAAAACCCAAAACCTCCTAAATCCCCAAAACCCTATAATCCCCAAACCCCCATAAACCCCAAAACCCCAAAGCCCCCATAAATCCCCAAATCCCATAATCCTCATAAACCCCAAACCTGCCATAATTCCCATAAACCCCAAAATCCCATAAACCCCACAAATCCCCAAAACCCCCATAAACCCCAAGTCCCCCAAATCCCCAAAACCCCCCAAATCCCCACAAACCCCAAATCCCCTAAACCCCATTAAAACCCCATAAAAACCCCATAAAAACCCCATAAAACCCCCATAAAAACCCCATAAAAACCCCATAAATCCCAAATCCCCTAAATCCCCTAAACCCCATAACTCCCAAAACCCCATAAACTGTAAACCCCCAAAACCCCACAAATCCCCAAATCCCCAAAACCCCCACCCCCTGTAATCCTGAATCCCCATAAACCCCATACCCCAAAACCCCACAAATCCCCACAAACCCCAAATCCCCTAAACCCCATAAAAGCCCCATAAAAACCCCATAAATCCCAAATCCCCTAAATCCCCTAAACCCCACAAACCCCACAAATCCCCAAACCCCCATAATTCCCATAAACCCCAAACCCCCATAATCTCCATAAACCCCATAAACCCCAAAACCCCCCAAAACACCATAAACCCCAAATCCCCTATAAACCCCCAAAACCCCACAGATCCCCAAATCCCAAAGCCCCCCAAATCCCTAAAACCCCGATCTCCTTTAATCCTGAATCCCCATAAACCCTACAATTCCCCAAAACCCCACAAATCCCCACAAACCCCCATAAACCCCGAAAACCCCCATAATCCCGAAACCCCATAAAACCCCAAAACGCCGCAATTCCCCAAAACCCCATAAATCCCCAAACCCCCATAAACCCCAAACCCCCATAATCCACAAACCCTCATAAACCCCCAAACCCCACAATTCCCCAAAACCCCATAAACCCCAAACCCCAATAATTCCCATAAACCCCAAACCCGCAAAAACCCACAAACGCCCATAAACCCCATAATCCCCAAACCCCCTCAAATCCCCCAAATGCCCTAAATGCCCCCCCAAAACCCCACAATTGCACAAACCCCCATAAATCCTCAAACCCCTGTAAATCCCCAAGCCCAATAAATCCCCAAAAATTCATAATCCAAAACCCCACAAATCCTGAACCCCACATCATTCCCCAAAACCCCATAAACCCCAAACCCCAATAATTCCCATAAACCCCAAACCCCCATAAACCCCAAACCCACAAACGCCCATAAACCCCATAATCCCCAAACCCCCTCAAATCCCCCAAAACCCCAAAACCCCACAATTTCACAAACCCCCATAAATCCTCAAACCCCCATAAATCCCCAAGCCCAATAAATCCCCAAAAATTCATAATCCGAAACCCCACAAATCCTGAACCCCACATCATTCCCCAAAACCCCATAAACCCCAAACCCCAATAATTCCCATAAACCCCAAACCCCCATAAACCCCATAAACCCCATAATCCCCAAACCCCCTCAAATCCCCTAAATGCCCCCACAAAACCCCAAAACCCCACAATTCCACAAACCCCCGTAAATCCCCAAGCCCAATAAATCCTCAAAAATTCATAATCCAAAACCCCACAAATCCTGAACCCCACATCATTCCCCAAAACCCCATAAACCCCAAACCCCAATAATTCCCATAAACCCCAAACCCCCATAAACCCCAAACCCGCAAAAACCCACAAACGCCCATAAACCCCATAATCCCCAAACCCCCTCAAATCCCCCAAATCCCCCAAATGCCCCCCAAAACCCCACAATTTCACAAACCCCCATAAATCCTCAAACCCCCGTAAATCCCCAAGCCCAATAAATCCCCAAAAATTCATAATCCAAAACCCCACAAATCCTGAACCCCACATCATTCCCCAAAACCCCATAAACCCCAAATCCCCCCAAAACCCCACAAAAACCCCACAAATCCCCCCGAAACCCCCCAAACCCCGTTTCAGGAAGGTGGTTCGCCGCGCCAGCCTGTCGGAGCGCTCGAGCCGCTACCGCCGGGAGCTGCAGCGCGAGGCCATCGTCTGGGGACACCTCGGGGACAGCGAGGACGACGACAGGGCCACCACCGCCGCCACCGGTGTCACCGCTGCCACCGAGACGCGGCCGCCGCTGCCACCGGCCGGGCACCGCGGAGGGGCCGGGGTGAGGGACGGAGGGGACAGCGGGGACATTGGGGACAGTGGGGACGGCGGGGACAGTGGGGACATCGGGGACGTTTGGTATGTTGAGGACACTGGGGACAGTGGGGACATCGGGGACATTGCAGACATTGGGGACATCAGGGACATTGGGGGATTGGGGACATTGGAGACACCTCAAGGGTGAGGGACATTGAGGACATTGGGGGATTGAGGACATTGGGGACACCTTGGGGGTGAGGGACGCTGGGGACATTGGGGACATTGGAGACATCAGGGACAATGGAGACGTCAGGGACATTGGGGACATTGGGGATGTTGGGAGTGAAGGACATTGGGGACACCTCGGGGACAGCGAGGATGAGGACAGGGCCACCGCTGCCACCAGTGTCACTGTCACCGCCGAGGGCACGGCCACCGAGACGCGGCCACCGCTGCCACCGGCCGGACACCGCGGAGGGGCCGGGGTGAGGGACAGCGGGGACAGCGGGGACATCGGGGACATTGGGGACTTTGGGGACAATGGTGACAGTGGGGACACCTCAGGGGTGAGGGACATTGGGGGAATTGGGGACATCGAGCGACTGGGGACATCAGGGGACTGGGGACATCAAGGATGTCAGGGACATTGGGGACATGGGGGTGAGGGACACTGGGGACATCGGGGGTGACATCGGTGTGAGGGACACTGGGGACATTGTGGGACCTCGGGGATATTGGGGACAATGTGGGACCCTGGGGACAATGTGGGGATGAGGGACCTTGGGGACATTGTGGGATACTGGGGACACTGGGGACAATGTGGGAGGACATTGGTGTGAGGGACATTGGGGACATCAGCGGTGACATTACTGGGGACATTCGGAGTGACACCGGCGTGAGGGACATTGGGGACATTGGGGGTGAGGGGCCTTGGGGACATCGTGGGACGTTGGGGACATCGGGGGATTGGGGACAATGAGGACAACATGGGGGACGTTGGTGTGAGGGACCTTGGGGACATTTGGGGACACTGGGGACATTGAGGTCACTGTGGGACAATGTGGGGGTGAGGGACCTTGGGGACATTGGGGGACACTGGGGACAACATGGGGGGGACATTGGGGGATTGGGGACATCGGGGGTGACACCGGAGTGAGGGACACTGGGGACATCGGGGACATTGAGAGTGAAGGACCTTGGGGACATGGGGGACACTGGGGACATTGGGGACATTGACGTCACGGTGGGACATTGGGGATGTTGTGGGACATCGGTGGCATTGGGGACAACGTGGGACATGGGGGACATTGGAGGTTGGCTCTTTGGGGACACCGGGGGGACATTGGGGGTGAGGGACATTGGGGACAATGTGGGGGGGACATTGGGGGATTGGGGACATCGGGGGTGACACCGGAGTGAGGGACACTGGGGACATCGGGGACATTGGGGGGTGAGGGACATCAGGGACATTGGTGATGAGGGACCTTGGGGACAATGTGGGGGGACATTGGTGGGAGGGACATTGGGGACATCGGGGGACATCAAGGGTGACATCAGTGGGAGGGACATGGGGGGACATTGGGGGTGAGGGTCCTTGGGGACATCGTGGGACCTTGGGGACATTGGGGGACATTGGGGGTGAGGGACATTGGGAGTGTGAGACCTTGGGGACCTTGGGGACATTGGGGGACATTGGGTGTGGGGGACATTGGGGGTGAGAGGCCTTGGGGACATTGGGGACCTTGGGGACATTGGGGGTGAGGGACATTGGGAGTGTGAGACCTTGGGGACATTGGGGACATTGGGGGACATTGGGGGACATTGGGGGAGGGACTTTGGGGACAATGTGGGACCTTGGGGACGACGTGGGACATTGGGGACATTGGAGGTTGGGTCCTTGGGGACACTGGGGGGACACTGGGGGGACACTGGGGACCTTGGGGACAATGTGGGGGTGGGGGACCTTGGGGACAACATGGGCACAATGGAGACATTGGGGACACTGGGGACAATGGGGGGGGACATTGAGGGGGTTGGGGACATTGCGGGGACACTGCGGATGAGAGACCTTGGGGACATTGGGGGACATTGAGGGTTGAGGACCTTGGGGACATTGAGGGACACTGGGGACAATGTGGGGGTGAGGGACCTTGGGGACAATGGGGGGGGACATTAAGGGTTGGGGACCTTGGGGACAAAGTGGGACCTTGGGGACATTGAGGGGATGAGGACACTGGGGACACTGGGGACAATGGAGACATTGGGGACATTGGGGGACACTGGGGACATCAGGGGACAGTAAAGGTTGGGTCCTTGGGGACATTGAGGACATCGGGGGTGACATCGGTGTGAGGGACACTGGGGACATTGGGGGACATTGGGAGTGAAGGACCTTGGGGACAACGTGGGACCTTGGGGACATTGAGGGATTGAGGACATTGGGGACAACATGGGGTGACACCAGGGGGTTGGGGACATTGTGGGGACATCAGGGTGAGGGACCTTGGGGACCTTGAGGGACATTGAGGGACATTGAGGGACATTGGGGGACATTGAGGGTTGAGGACCTTGGGGACATTGGGGGACATTGGGGACATCCTGGGGGGGTTGAGGACCTTGGGGACCTTGGGGACAACATGGGGACATTGGGGAAAATGTAGGGGGACATTGAGGTGAGGGACCCTGGGGACATTGAGGGGTTGAGGACCTTGGGGACATTGGGGACACCATGGGGTGACACCAGGGGGTTGGGGACATCGCGGTGACATCGGGGTGAGGGACCTTGGGGACCTTGAGGGACATTGGGAGAACATTGAGGGTTGGGGACGTTGGGGGGACCTTGGGGACATTGGGGGACATTGGGGACATTGAGGGTTGGGGACCTTGGGGACAATGGGGGACATTGAGGGACATCATGGGGGATTGAGGACCTTGGGGACACCATGGGGTGACACCAGGGGTTTGGGGACATCGCGGTGACATCAGGGTGAGGGACCTTGGGGACATTGAGGGACATTGGAGGACATTGTGGGGACATTGGGGGGTTGAGGACCTTGGGGACATTGGGGGACCTTGGGGACATTGTGGGACCTTGGGGACATTGAAGGTTGGGGACCTTGGGGACATTGGGGGACATTGAGGGACATTGGGGGACATTGAGGGACATCATGGGGGATTTGAGGACCTTGGGGACAACATGAGGTGACACCAGTGGGTTGGGGACATCGCGGTGACATCGGGGTGAGGGACCTTGGTGACAACACGAGGTGACACCAGTGCCTTGGTGACAACAGCGGGGAGCACACCCGCGCTCAGGGTGGCACCGGGAGGGGACAACGGCGACACCGCTGGGGACAACGGCCCCGAGCGTCGCCGCTGTCGCCGCTGTCCCCATTGTCACCCCCCGTTCTCTGTCCCCTCAGGAGCCGCCCGCCGCCGTCCCCTGGGCGCCGTCCCCGCTGTCCCCGCACCCCAACGGCTCCGCGCCGGCCCCGCTGTCCCCAGGGTCCCCTCGCTGTCCCCCGGTGTCCCCAGGGTCCCCTCGCTGTCCCCCGCTGTCCCCAGGGTCCCCTCGCTGTCCCCCGGCGCCCTCGGGGGACAGGAGCCGCCCCCCGCACACCCTGGCCGACCTCAAACGGCACCGGGCGGCCGCCAAAACCCCCAAAAACGACCCCAAAAACGACCCCAAAAACCCCGAAACGCCCCTCGGGGACACCCCTGGGGACATCGGGGATACCCTCGGGGACACCCCTGGGGACATTGGGGACACCGGGGACACCGGGGACCCGCCCCTGCTGCGGCTGACGGCGCCGCCCCCCGAGGGCCCCGCGGGGAAGCAGCGCTGCTGCCGCCTCATGTGACCCAACCCGGGGCTTTTTTTTTTGGGGGGGGGGGGGGGGTCACCCCAAAAATTTGGGGGGGGGCGTCCCCGGTGTCACTCGGTGTCCCCAAACGGGTTTTTTTTTTTTTTTTTTTTTTTTTTGTGTCATTTTTTTTGTCCCCAAAAAAAGAAAAAAAAAAAAAAAACCCAAACCCCAAAAAAGGGGACGAGGAAGAAAACGGGGGCGGCAGCGTTCCGGTGTCGGCGTGGATTTTGTTATTTGGGGGTTTTGGGGTTTTTTTTATGGGAAATGGCCCCAAAATTGTGGGGGGGGGGGGGGGACGGGGACCCCCCAAAATGGGGGGGAGGGGATGGGAGACCCCAAAAGTCGCGTTTGGCGGGAAAAGGGACCCCAAAATTGGGGTTGGGGAGGACAAGGGACCCCAAAATTGGGTTTGGGGTTTTGGGGAACCCCTAAAGGCTCATTTGGGGTTTTGGGGATCCCCAAATCCTACAGGGAACTTTTGGGATCCCCCAAATCCCACTGGGAACTTTTGGGAACCCCCAAATCCACATTTGGGGTTTTGGGAACCCCTAAATCCACTTGTGGTGTTTTGGGGGCCCCAAATCCTACAGGAAAGTTTTGGGGTCCCCCAAATCCCACTGAGAACTTTTGGGAACCCCCAAATCCACATTTGGGGTTTGGGGAACCCCCAAATCCACATTTGGGGTTTTGGGGATCCCTAAATCTCATAGGGAAGTTTTGGGGTCCCCCAAATCCCACTGGGAACTTTTGGGGACCTTCAAATCCCACATTTGGGATTTTGGGGACCCCCAAATCCTACAGGAAAGATCTGGGATCCCCCAAATCCCACGGGGAACTTTTAGGAACCCCCCAAATCCACATTTGGGGTTTTAGGATCCCCTAAATCCCACAGGGAACCCCCAAATCCACCTTTGGGGTTTTGGGGACCCCCAAATCCTACAGGGAACATTTGGGGACCCCCAAATCCTACAGGGAACTTTTGGGAACCCCCCAAATCCCACAGGGAACTTTTGGGGACCCCCCAAATCCCACAGGGAATTTTTGGGGACCCCCAAATCCACATTTGCGGTTTTGGGGGGGCTCCTAAATCCTACAGGGAAATTTTGGGGACCCCCCAAATCCACTTTTGGGGTTTTTAGGATCCTCCAAATCCCACATTTGGGGTTTGGGGAACCCCCAAATCCACATTTGGGGTTTTGGGGACCCCTAAATCCCACAGGGAAGTTTTGGGATCCCCCAAATCCTACAGGGAAGTTTTGGGAACCCCCAAATTCACATTTGGGGTTTCGGGGACCCCCAAATCCTACAGGGAAGTTTTGGGATGCCCAAAATTAATTTTTGGGGTTTCGGGGACCCCGAAATCCCACAGGGAAATTTTGGGATCCCCCAAATCCCACTGAGAACTTTTAGGATCCCCCAAATCCACATTTGGGAACCCCCAAATCCTACAGGAAAGTTTTGGGAACCCCAAATCCCATATGGGATCTCTAGGATCCCCCCAAATCCCACATTTGGGGTTTGGGGATCCCCCAAATCCACATTTGGTGTTTTGAGAACCCCGAAATCCTACAGGGAAGTTTTGGGGACCCCCAAATCCTCATTTGGGATTTTAGGATCCCCCCCAAATCCCACTGGAAACTTTTGGGATCCCCCAAATCCACTTTCGGAACCCCCAAATCCCACAGGGAAGTTTTGGGATCCCCCAAATCCACATTTGGGGTTTTGGGACCCCCCCAAACCCCACTGTGAACTTCTGGGAACCCCAAATCCCTTTAGGAACTTTTAGGATCCCCCCCAAACCCCAAATAAAAACCCCAAACCCCTTTCGGGACCCCCCAAACCCCAATGGGAACTTTTTAGGACCCCCCCAAATCCTTTAAGGGATTTTAGGACCCCCCAAACCCCACAGGGAACTTTTGGGATCCCCCAAATCCACATTTGGGGTTTTGGGACCCCCCAAATCCCACACTGGGAACCTTTGGGGACCCCAAATCCTGTATGGGGTTTGTGGGACCCCCAAATCCACATTTGGGGTTTCAGGACCCCCCCAAACCCCCACAGGGAACTTTTAGGACCCCCCAAAACCCCAAATAAAACCCCCAAATCCCTTTTAGGACCCCCCAAAACCCCAAATCCCTTTTAGGGCCCCCCCAAAACCCCACAGGAAACTTTTAGGACCCCTCCAAATTCTTTATGGGATTTCAGGACCCCCCAAACCCCACTGGGAACTTTTGGGAACCCCCAAATCCACATTTGGGGTTTTAGGGTCCCCCCAATCCCACAGGGAAGTTTTAGGACCTCCCCCCAAATCCACATTTGGGGTTCAGGGCCCCCCAAAACCCCACAGGGAACTTTTTAGGACCCCCCCAAATCCTTTAAGGGATTTTAGGACCCCCCAAACCCCACAGGGAACTTTTAGGAACCCCCCAAACCCCACAGGAAACTTCTAGGACCCCTCAAATCCTATATGGGATTTTAGGATCCCCGAACCCCAAATAAAAAACCCCAAATCCCTTTTGGGGCCCCCCAAAACCCCAAATCCCTTTTAGGAACTTTTAGGATTCCCCAACCCTAAATAAAACCCCCAAATCCCTTTTAGGAACCCCCAAACCCCACCAGAAACTTTTTAGGATCCCCCAAAACCCCAAATAAAAACCCCAAATCCCTTTCGGGGCCCCCCAAAACCCCACAGGAAACTTTTAGGACCCCCCCAAATCCTTTGTGGGATTTTAGGACCCCCCCAGATCCCATTGCAAACTTTTAGGACCCCCCAAATCCACATTTGGGGGTTTTCAGGATCCCCTAAATCCCACTGGGAACCTTTGGGGACCCCAAATCCTGTATGGGGTTTGTGGGACCCCCAAATCCACATTTGGGGTTTCAGGACCCCCCCAAACCCCACTGGGAACTTTTGGGAACCCCCAAATCCACATTTGGGATTTTGGGATCCCCCCAAATCCCACAGGGAAGTTTTAGGACCTCCCCCCAAATCCACATTTGGGGTTCAGGGCCCCCCAAACCCCACAGGGAACTTTTTAGGACCCCCCCAAATCCTTTAAGGGATTTTAGGATCCCCCAAACCCCAAATAAAAACCCCAAATTCCCTTTTAGGACCCCCCCAAACCCCAAATCCCTTTCGGGACCCCAAAAGGGTCCAAACCCCAAATAAAAACCCCCAAATTCCCTTTCAGGACTCCCCAAACCCCCCAAAAAACCCCAAATTCCCTTTTAGGACCCCGCAGACCCCAAATCCCTTTCGGGACCCCCCCCGAACCCCAAATAAAAACCCCAAATCCCTTTGGGGACCCCCCAAACCCCCAAATTAAACCCCAAATTCCCTTTTAGGACCCCCCAAAACCCCAAATAAAAACCCCAAATCCCTTTCGGGACCCCCCCAAACCCCAAATAAAAAACCCCAAATCCCTTTCGGGACCCCCCCAAACCCCAAATAAAAAACCCCAAATTCCCTTTTAGGACCCCCCAAAACCCCAAATAAAAACCCCAAATTCCCTTTCGGGACCCCCCAAAACCCCAAATAAAAACCCCAAATCCCTTTTGGGACCCCCCCAACCCCCAAATTAAACCCCAAATCCCTTTCGGGACCCCCCAAAACCCCAAATAAAAACCCCAAATCCCTTTTGGGACCCCCAAACCCCAAATTAAACCCCAAATCCCTTTCGGGACCCCCCAAACCCCAAATAAAAACCCCAAATTCCCTTTCGGGACCCCCCAAAACCCCAAATAAAAACCCCAAATCCCTTTGGGGACCCCCCCAAAACCCCAAATAAAAACCCCAAATTCCCTTTTAGGACCCCCCAAAACCCCAAATAAAAACCCCAAATCCCTTTCGGGACCCCCAAACCCCAAATTAAATCCCAAATCCCTTTGGGAACCCCCCAAAACCCCAAATTAAACCCCAAATCCCTTTCGGGACCCCCCAAACCCCAAATAAAACCCCAAATCCCTTTGGGGACCCCCCCAAAACCCCAAATAAAAACCCCAAATTCCCTTTGGGGATCCCCCAAACCCCCAAATCCGCGCCCCAAACCCTCCCCCCGAGCCGTGTTTCACTTTTTGGGGTGGCCCTTTATGGGGCGGGGCCCCCCAAAATCCCAACCCGGCCCCGCTCCTATTTCGGGCCGCGGCAGCTGCGGGGCAAGGTCAGCGCTGGTGGGGTGACCCCAAAGGGCGCCCCCAAAAACCCCGAACCGCGCCCCAAAATCCCCAAAAACCCCCCGGGGGGTTTGGGGGGGCTGCAGGGCGAGGGGCGGGGCCGCTTTGGGGTTTTTTGGGGGGCTGGAAGGGGCTGATAAGGGGGGGGGGGGGCGTTGATAAGGGTGGGGCGGCCCCAAAAGGGCCCCGGGGAGGGAAAGGGGGCCCTGAAGCGGAATTGGGGGGGTCCCAAATAGGGGAATTTGGGGGGGTCCCAAATAGGGGAATTTGGGGAAATTTGGGGGGTCCCAAATAGGGGAATTTGGGGGGCTCCTAAATGGGAAAATTGGGGTGGAAATAGGGGAATTTGGGGGGCCCTGAAGGGGAATTTGGGGGGCCCTGAAGCGGAATTGGGGGGGGTCCCAAATAGGGGAATTTGGGGAAATTGGAGGGGTCCCAAATAGGGGAATTTGGGGAAATTTGGGGGGGTCCCAAATAGGGGAATTTGGGGAAATTTGGGGGGTCCCAAATAGGGGAATTTGGGGGGCTCCTAAATGGGAAAATTGGGGTGGAAATAGGGGAATTTGGGGGGCCCTGAAGGGGAATTTGGGGGGCCTGAAGCGGAATTGGGGGGGTCCCAAATAGGGGAATTTGGGGAAATTTGGGGGGTCCCAAATAGGGGAATTTGGGGGGGGCCTAAATGGGAAATTTGGGGTGGAAATAGGGGAATTTGGGGGGCCCTAAAGGGGAATTTGGGGTGGAAATGGGGGAATTTGGGGGGCCCTGAAGCGGAATTGGGGGGGTCCCAAATAGGGGAATTTGGGGGGCCCTAAAGGGGAATTTGGGGGAATTTGGGGGG